TGTCTGTCCGTCCGTCCGCCGGGAGGCTTGGATTTGTCTTGGCTGCCGGCTCTGACGTGCCTGGGAAGGGCAAGGAAAGGAAATGGGTGGGAGCTCCCACCTAACCACGAACTTGTTTTGCCCCCTCCTCCTTTTCTCTCTCCCCCCCCATCCCCAGCCAGAGGGAGGATTGAGCTGCATCGCTCAGAATTTCTTCAGAACTTGAGATTATTTTCCCCTTTTCTTCTCCTTCAGATGAAATACTCTGGGAGTTTCTCCTTTTTCCATGTGCTCCCACCTAACCACGAGCTTTTTTTGCCCCCTCCTCCTTTTCTCTCTCCCTCCCCATCCCCAGCCAGAGGGAGGATTGAGCTGCATGGCTCAGAATTGCTGCAGAATTTGGGCTTGGGATCTTTATTTTTATTCCCCTTTTCTTCTCTTTTAGACAAAACACTCTGGCAGTTTCTCCCTTTTCCACGTGCTCCCAGCCAAAGGGGGTTGTTGTTACAAGAGTGTGTAAGTGTGGTGCAATGTGTGTGTATGTGGAGTGTCCTGAGAGGTGCTTTGCACTGGGAGCAGGCAGAAATCACACAGCTTTTGGAAATATTCCTGCATTTTATTTCATCTTCCTGAGGATTTAATCTCAGCGTCGTTGTTTATGATTTAAAACCTAATTTCTTTTGCTGTCCCTGAGAAATTTGGTCCAGTGGCCAAATGATCCAGAAATTTGGTCCAGGCCGCTGCCCTGCCACTGCAGATGAGGTGATTCGCCAGCTCCCTTCCAACCAAAGCTCTTTTATGATTCTGGAATTTATTTTCCACACTTTCCAAGTTTCAGGTCCATCTTGACAAGTGATGATCCCTCTCTAAGTATTACTATAAACACCTTTTAAATCTGTTTTACCTTTAATCTGCCTGCTTCCAAAACCTCGAGAGAGAAAACCCCGTGGGGATGTGCCCCAGTGGCCTCTCTCTCTTTATCTGAATAAAATTGCAGGATTCTTCTTTCTCCTTTATGGACATTGGGTTTCCCAGTGGGATTTTCCATACAGGAGGGTGCAGCCTCCTTTTATCCCAAACTCCCTCCTTTTATCCCAAACTCCCTCCTTTTATCCCAAACTCCTGGCTGCACATTTCCCTCTTCCTTTCCCTGTGGAAAATCTGACCCAGGGAGTTGTGAAGACACCAGCACACATCTTCCCTATCAGTCCCAACCCATTCTGGGATTTTCTGAGAACAGGGATTCCTGTTTGTAGCAGAAAACCCTTCACAGGATTTTTCTTGAGATTTTCTTGACCCCATTTTGCTTTGAAATCTCTCCACAGCCAAGAGTTTTTATGTTTCACCTTGGCTCTGTGGCAGAGTTTGACAGCCAGTGCTGCTCTGCTGTCCTGCTCCCCTTGAAGCCACCTCAGCACACAAGGGAATCTGGGAAGCAGCTGGGCTGGGGGTTTTATTTTGCCAAAGGTGGCATCCTGATAAAGGATGGCAAATTTTCGGGATGTCTAGCTTGTCAGAGTGACCCCGAGAAAAATTGGAAAGTCTCTTTTCCCAGCCTGGCACTTGAAGAAGGAGTCAGAGCTCTTCATTTCTCGGTCTCAAGGTTGTTTATTGTGTCTTATCTATAAAAAGTTTTCTCCTGCCCTGCCAAGGTCCATCCAGCAGGACAGTCCCAGGCACTCTGCCTGCCCCAGGGCGGTGTTATGTCTTTATACTAAAAACTATGTGTACAATATTTACAATTACTTTCCAATACCCATCACCTATGTTAGACATAATAATGACAATATAGGGACATGTTTTTTGCCAAGGATCACAGCAGAACATTAATAGGCAATGGCACAATTTGTGGAAAAATTGCATATAAAAATTGACAGTGAGCTTCTACTCTAAACCAATCCCAAAGTGCCACCATCACAGCAGAAGATGGAGGCCAAGAAGAAGAAGGAGAAAGGCTGGACATGCCCAGATTCCTCCATCTTGCCCCCACTGAACCCCTCATACCAAAAACCCCAAAATCTACTTTTCCACCCCGTGATAACTTCACTAATATTCTACCAAGCAAGATCTGTTGAGGCTTGCAGATCTTCATACAAGGTTGGTAATTTGCTCCACGGGTCACAATCAAACCCACAGGTGTTTTGGGCTCTGTGCCAGGGTCCCTGAGCCCCCTGGCAGGGGTCTGGGCATTCCAGGACAGCCAGAGGGATGTGCTGGGTCCTGACAGCAAATGATAGGATGGGAAGGTTGGTGCTGCACTCCCAAACCAAAATGAGACACAGGGGGAAGGAAGAACCAAACACACAAAACAATTTCCCCTGGTTTGGGAGAGGAAACGTGGAGAACTCACAGGCCAGGCTGTGGCTTTGGGGAGAGGAATGCGAGCAGTCACTTTCTCATCCTGCTCCTGTCCTTCCAAGCCTTGTGTGAAAAGGCTGATGCCGAGTCCCAGTCAGCCATAAAATAACAACAACAACTCTGCCCACTGGCTGGGATTTGCCAATCCTGAGCTTTCCTCACCCTTCCAGGGACTGGGAAGGACGGAAGTCTGCAAACCATCGCGGCTCCGAGCGCGGAATCCTGGCCGAATGTGATCTCACCCGCGGGGACAATCTGATGGACGGAGTGTTACTTGTTGTTCCAACACCATGGCAATGTCTCCAGGAGGAATACAAATCACTTGGAGCTGGGAGGCAGAGCCAGCTGAGCAGGTACCAGGAATGTGGGAGTTGCTTATTACTCACCCAGGGGGAAGAGCTGCTGCTTGTTTTTTTAATTATATTTTTACTCGCCTCTACTCATCGCCCCCACGCAGCACCAGCGCTTTTTGTAATGAAAATAATGAGATAGAGCCCGATGCTGGGAGCACTGAGCACATCCCGATTTTCCATTGGATGTGTGAACCAGGTGGGACTTTTGCACTGGCAGATCTCCGGCCTCGTCAAATCTCAGCGGGTGCAAATCTGCTGAAGTCAGTGAGGGCTTCTCATCTATCACTTGTTTTATTAATATTGCTCTGTCTGCAAGTCCAGGCTCTCCAAGAACACATCTTTTATTTCACTGCCTCTCATCGAAGGCAACGTGTGAGTGCTGATTTTCCCGGGCTCAGGATCAGCTCCAGCTCTTTCATTGTTGCTTTTTTTCCCCCCCTCTCTCTCCCTCTCTCATTTTTTTATGGCAGCGTTGGAATCGCTGTCAGGTTTACAGTGCAGTAATAATCACCTCATTATTATTAATAACCATGGCAACAGAATGGAAATTAATCACTCCACTTCTGTTTATCCCCATGGAAACAGAGCCAAAACAAACAAGCCTCATCCACAATGCCCATTCCTAGAAATCAGACATCCTGCAAAATTCCCAACTCAACAAACCAGCAGCTCCAACTGCCTGGGTTAGCCTGGAGCACCAATGGAGAGGGCGAGGATGTTCTGTCATGGGCTCTTCCTCAGGGTCAGATTAGCAGGGCACAAATATTTTTAGGAATTTTGTTTGGTTTAATGGATGGTTTTACTCTCCAGCTTTTGTCCTGGTGTGACAGAGACACAGTGACAGCAATGCTTCTGCTTCCCATAAAAACTGGGCTTCCTGTAAGGATGGAAAGAGAATTTGGAGAGATAGGAAAGGAGGAATGGCCTTAAGGTGAAGGAGAGCAGGGATGGATGGGATATCCATCTAGAATTAAGGCTAGAATTAAGGAGGAAGTACTTCACAGAAAGAGTGGTCAAATACTGGAATCATCTACCCAGAGAGATGGTGGAGTCACCATCCCTGGATGTGTTTAAAAAAAGACTGGATGTGGCACTTGGTGCCATGGTCTAGTTGAGGTGTTAGAACATGGGTTGGACTCGATGATCTTAAAGGTCTCTTCCAACCTAGAAATTCTGTGATTCTGTGATATTGGGAAGGAATTCCTGGCTCTGAAGGTGGAGACACCCTGGAATAGAATTCCCAAGGAAGCTGTGGCTGCCCCCAAATTCTGGAAGTGCCCAAGGCCAGGCTGGACAGGGTTTGGGCAACCTGGACAGTGGGAGTTGTCCCTGCCATGACAGGGGGGGTGAATTCACCTTTAAGGTCCTTTCCCAAGCCAAACCAAACCATTCTGTGATTCCATCACAAGTAGGATTAAAATTGTCAGGGATTGCAAGGGAGGCTTCAGAGAAATATTCACTGCTGAAAAAACTCTGGAGATAATGCTTCTTCCCAGGTGCCCAACACTGAAATAAAGTTTAGTGGAAAATTCAGGAAAAAGTTCAGGAAAATCTTTAGGCAGAAAGTGAACACAACGCCAATTTTTACTCTTTTTGCTGTCACCATCCTTGTTTGCAGGAGGAAAGGAGGATGTCACACTCATTCCCTATGCACAGAAATGAAACTCCCATGATTTTTTTTTTCCCAGGAAAATCCCTGTTTTCCCCCAGCCATTCCTCACCCGGATCCAGCAGCACAGCAGCCGCTGCCTGTCCCCCCTGCCCTGCCAATTACTGTGTTTTATTTAGGCTGTCACCAACAGATAATCTGAGCTTGCATCTGCTTTTTCCTGCGGCTTAATGACACGCCCAGGGGACCCCTTCCCAGGCTTTCAAAGGCAAGAATTCCTCCCTCAGACGATCCTTCAATCCCAGGGATTCTGCTGACTCTTATCTGCAGATGCAGCAGCGCAGATTAGGGCTGGTGAGGAAAGATGAGAGAGGCAGGGAAAGTAATGATGATTAAACCCACAACCCTCCCTGGAGCCCCTTTTATTTTTTTTTTTTTTGCAGCAGGATCTGCTCAGGCTGAAAACCCTCGGAGTGGCTGAAATCAGCTGCGTGCTGGAAACGTTTATTTTCCATTTAAAAAAGCCCAAAAAATGGAACTTGACCACGTGGAGCAGGGAAAAAATGAAGTTGCCACGTCTTCCAAAGCCTCCAGAGGTTTTGATGGATCTTCTATGGAGTCTCCTACAACTCTGGAAAATCATAAAATCAGCTTCTTACATCTCTCTCTTACCTAAAAATTGAGGATAAAACCCCTCTTATTTTCCTATATAACGCTTTTAAAAATGATCTACACACTGTGTAAATTTTTTGGACACAATTGGTTCATTTTGGGATTGTCTTGTTGTCTCACTGTCCTCTGGATTTGTACAGAGATCCTGAATCCTGTTCAAGTGCAGGAATTAAACCTGGAAATGACAGAGGGAACAGAATGCTTTGATATTTAACTGACCTTTTAAGCTTCCCAAAAAGGCAGGGAGAGTATAATTAACTGGGATGAATCCCATCTGAACTTCCTCCAGCCAGTCCTCCTGAATCCAATTAAACACAACTTTTCCATGTGGAGGTACAGTTGAGGAGAGATGGATGTTGCTGTTGGGTTTTCTGCCTTTTTTATGTGATCCCCTCCCAGAATTAGGATTTTTTTAATCCAGGAGAAACCAGCACTGACAGACCCCTGAAATTCCTGGTCCTGTGTCTCCCAAACCACCAAACAAGCAGGAATATGCTGAAGGGATCTGTGCATTTGCAGTTCTGCATCATAAAATATCAATGTGGTCTCTGTTGTCTGTAGAAAAAATCCCAAATTTCCATTAATAGATACGTGGGATGTGGTTTGACGGGTTATTTGACTAAAAATTAATCTCATTAATTTATGTGGATTAGGAACTGTTTGACGTGAACCAATGTTTGAACACGGATATTTAATTTCCATGAGGATGTCCTCCTAAACCTTTCTCTGTTCCACCTGGACTGCCTGAAGGTTCTCCTGGATTGTGTCTGCTCATCCCAAATGTCTTCAGGAAATTTCAAATGGCAGGAGAAACCCAATTAAAGATGGCTGATTGGTACCCTAAATCACAATTCTCCTTCTCCTTCTCCTTCTCCTTCTCCTTCTCCTTCTCCTCCTCCTTCTCCTTCTCCTTCTCCTTCTTCTCCTTCTCCTTCTCCTTCTCCTTCTCCTTCTCCTTCTCCTTCTCCTTCTCCTTCT